GAAGAAAACAATAAAAAAAAATGAGACCATGAACCCCTGTACCACCGGGGTGCCAATTAGACTTATCTGTTAAGAGTGGGTTAGAATTTGACATAATAGTATTAATGGCACATGAATTCAGTTCTGCCTTGTGTTATAATTCAGTACAATTATATCTTACTGTCTTACTTAGAACTTAAAATTGTTGTGTCATTTGTGTTCTTGGGTGCCACTGAACTGGCTCAAACGTACAGCTACCCTGTGTACAAGAGTGTAAAATCCTGTCTAATTCTGTGTCTGGTTTAGTATTTCAGGAATTTCTTCTGGAGCCATATTCCAGATTCACTTACTGATTAGTGTTAACAAGGATTTACTCTCATAAAGAATATAAAAATTGGACTCCAATCTAGGGGGGAAAAGAATCCTTTGTTTACTCCAATCTATGAAAAAAGAATCCTTTGTTTAGTAGGGGGCCCTGGTGATGCAGTGAGGTATGCATAAGGCCACTAACTAAAAGGTCTGTACCATACTTGTTCCAAGGGAGAACGTTCTAGAATACTGCTTCACTAAGATTCCAGCCTCAGAAGCTTTGTTAGGTAGTTCTCTGGAAGGCTTGTTTTAAGAAGTTGTGCTGGAACGCAGTTAGAATCCACTAGGATAGGCAATCGCAGTTAGAATCCACCAGGATAGGCAATCTCCTCCTGTGAGATTTACTGCCTCTGAAAATCCGCTGGAGGGTCAAGTATGGATCAGACTTAATGGCACACAACCATGTCCTGTCCTATAGAATCAGAAATTAATCTGAATCCCTCAATAAAAACAGAGTTTGTTTCTTTTGTGTTTTAATGTCCTCAAGTTGATAGGGAACCGTGATAATCCATGTGGGTCAGAGAAGAACTACTCCTTGGGTTTTCAAAGATGTGACCTGGATAAGAAATGGATGCCCAGGCCTGCTTTTCAGATTTTTCTCTACTTATGACTAAACCACCAAACTTTTAACTAACAGTCAAGCACTTGACTGTCTACATCACCCAAGAGAGACCCTATTATTGAGGTAGGAACTATTATTATCCTCATTTCACTGATGAGGAAACAAAGGCACAGAGACGTTAAATGTCCACAATCAAAGAGGTAGAGAGCAGGGGAGATGGGATTTAGTCTTAGGCACTATGGATACAGAATCTACCCTTTAAACAAAGAGGCCACCCTCCCACTTCCCAAGTGATATTAAAACTACCTGTAATGCCATAATGATTTTATAGAGTTTTCCATTTAGTATGCAATTATTATGTAAATAGAAATTAGTTTCTGTCACTTTGTGGTAAAGTTTTTAAGTGCAATCATTAACTTATCAACAGAAACCCTTTGAGACTTCAGGCACTGGGTCTCAGCTGTAATCCTGAGACAGTGCTTGTGGCTGGAATTATTGGACGCTAAGTGAGAGGACAAAGATATTTCTCGACCTAAAGCCACCTCAGGACGATGACCAGGTGTTGGGCAGCTGGAAAATCAGTCATTGTCGATAAAGTTTTTCTAATATACATAGTAGCCATGAGTAAAAATTAAGTAGATTTCAACTAAGTAACTGGTTACTTAACTTGCATTAAATGTCTTGGAAGATTCAAAACAAAATCCCAGAGATTGCCCAAGCCTGTGTCAAGGACTGAGATTCAAGAACTGAGTGACAACTTATCCTCACTCTGCATCTATTCATCTAGGCAAGACAGGCTCCAAGACAGATGTCCTCATGGGTACAGAAGAAGATGTGGACGAGATTGTGAGTTTCCATGCCAAGGAAGATGTCACAGAGTTACTGATTTGCAATGTGAATAATTATTTGAAATTAAAAGATTGTATTTCCTATTATGTTTTGGAGGACTTTTTGGTCACCAGTGATGCAGTTCACTTTTTGCTAGGTAGACTCATTCCCAGGATGTTTTGTGTCAGCTGGGCACGCAGTGAAGCTGTGGACTCCCAGAGGAGGTGCAGCCAAGAACAGAAAGGAGAGTCAATCACCTTGACTCAACAGACTCCCACCTTCCCTGTTAACATCAACAATATAAGATGATGTATTTAGATTGTTTATTTCTAGAATTGAGCTCTAAGAGTACCCAAGATTGAAGGGGAAAGAATTGAAAGGCTGTATCTCCTTTCAGTTGGCAGGGCTGGATCCATCTTTCTCAAAGGAGCTTTAAACTTGGCAATTGTCTCCATATACCGGGCATAAGATTTTCATAGACCTGTGGGTACTTTTCCAGGACATATAGGAAGCCACCCAGAACTGCACTTGCCCGAGAAGTGCCATGGACAGAGGAATCATCTGGAGAGAGAATGACACAATTTAGTGAATGCTGGGGCACCAGTCATAGCCCTTTATTGCACACCATTCTCTAGTGTGTTTCAACAATTATTGCAGCCAGTTTTCAGAAACTGTATGACTTCTGCTGGTGCCTCACATGGACTCCCTTTCCAGGGTCCTTCAGGTGCTGGGATTGTTGATTGCAACTGACTCTTTCCTTTGGGGAATCATCTTCATTGCAGCCTCTTCACATGGAATCCTATGCCCAGTCCACAAATGATTTCTACCACCCCTCTGTCAGGGGTAATGTACTGCGTTTGCTTATGCGTTACTATGATGGTGGGAGGGTGGCCACTGGAACAGGTGTACCTCCAACATATTGAGGACTCTTTCCAGACCACCGCCATGTATCACTGATCACCATAAGGCAAATCACACAAATGTTCTGGAAGTTTCAAAGACATAAATACTCTACCTTTCACTGTTTATTACAGCTCAATGTAAAAGAAAGTTTGACATTATAAAAAAAATTTGTCTCTTTGAATCTATAATCAGTATATGTGGAAGCTTCAACATGTGTAGAAGCTGTACAGTGAATCAGAAAGACTGAAAAAGACTTGATGCCTTTGAACAGTGTGTTGTCCAAGAACACTGGATATCCCCACGGACAGCCAACAGAAGGAACAAGTCTTTCTAGGAAGAAGAGCAGTCTTAGTGCCCCTTAGAAAAAAGGAAAAGTGAGACTCTGCTGTGGATATTTTGACATGATATCAGGAGGGACCAATCTCTACAACAGGAAATGATGATTAGAAAGGTGGACCGTCAGTGGCAGAAACGAAGCAATTCAATGAGATGTGTTGTCATAATGAGAGCAACAATGGGCTTAAGCAGTGAGAGGGTGTGAGGATGGTGTGAGACCTGGCATTGGTTGATCTTTTGTGTGTAGGGTCCTTAATACGAGAGCTGATGAGAGTGTTCAACAACACAGCACTCCACTGTGCCCCTCTGTGCTGTGTGAAGCCCCAGTTCCTCCCACCTTCGTTTGTGCAGGTGTACATACATACTTCACAGTCTCCCCTGCACCCATCACACAAGATCCCTGCCTCACTTTGTCTAGAATGTGCAATCCATCCTTATGTCCCATTCTTCCCTCAGTCATCACTTACAAGCTGTGCTGAAGCATCCATCTGCCTTCTGCCAGCGGAGGATATTCACAAACCACTGGGATTTGTAAAAATCAACGAATCCACCAGTTCCACACAGCATGACTGAAACAAAGAGAAGGGGTATTTCTGCTAGGCCTGCCCCCTAGGCAGATCACCTCCACTAAAACCCATCATCTGCCTCTTCCAAAAGGATCCTGTCAGCCCAGAAAATGACACATGAAAAACTAGCTGGAAGAAGCACCCACGGCTCCACCCTCACCACAGAGGCTCCTGGATTTGAGCTCTGCCTCTTGTTTATGGCCTAGGCCAAGGATGTTCAAGAGCTGCAGACAGGAAAGTGATCTGAACATCAAGCCAAGAATATAATTCTATTAAAAACAGTTCATGGCTAATAAAATGTGTAACGGGGTCAAGTGGGGGAAGGTATGGGAGCAGAGGGGTGAGGATGGGTAGGGAGAAGAGCAAGGGTTTGCACAGTTTGATGGGTGGAGGGAGAGGGTGAAGGAAATGGGAAAGATACAGCATGAATCTGAAGAGAGGGTAATGGAGGGCATAGTTCAATGGTGACTGATTTTACAAAACATAATGAATGGGAATGATTGTATGAAATACAATGTAAAGAAAGGATAGTGTTAAACACAATGTATATGAATTTTGTCCACATACCTATAAAAAATAAAAATTTTAAAAATAAAAAGTTTATACAACATACTAATACTGAACTGTTCTTACAAAATCCAGTATTTAAAATAGACATGATCCTTGAAAGTATAGTCTTAAGAGCCAATGTTTTAAAAACGGTATTTTAAACAACATTTTAAAGTATCATTTCTCTGAACTGGCCATTTTACCTAGTGTAAAACCCAAGGCTTCCCTTCTGGCTTCATGCCTGAGTCTTTCAGTCTACTTTGTTCCATTAGTTTGTCCAGTGTTCAATAACTGGAAGAGTTTGGGAGGCAGGAAACACCTCTTAGTGATAGCCGATAAAATATGGAACACATTCAGTTATCTTGGAATTTCTAGAGCCCCTTTTTACTACAATAAAACCTAAGAAATCCAGGATTGTGATAAAGGCCTGTCAAAAGTGGAAACCACAAATGTTTTCCATTAAATCAACTGGTTGAAAAGCAGTAAAATTGAACCCTGGGGAAGCCGGAAAACTGTGAGGCCTGAAAACCAAAGCAAGTCTCCACTCTATAAATCTACTGCATGTGATACTGGAAAACATTTTTACTGAAATAAGTGCTGATCTTTATGTGGAATTTAAATCCAGGTATTTTCACTTGCTATAGACAAAAATTCTTTATGTGTGTGTGTGTGTGTGTGTGTGTGTGTATAGACATACACAGCTGCGTGTGTCCAAGAGCATATTTCGAACTGTGTCCGCCTGTGTGCACCCATACATGACTATCTGTGGTTTTACATGTTCACATTTACATATATGTCTCCTCAATGCATGTGCACATGTGCTGTCATGTGAATGCTAGAGTGTGTAGACACTCATTTCCAAATCAAAGACTCTGCTACCTGCTTTGAACAAGAAGTGAGGGACTTACTGTTTTCTAAAAATGTGTCACGGAAGGAGTACTGGTATTTTCCAGTTTCAATTTTTGCATTGATGCCCATCAAGTTGGAGCAGAAGAGGTTCATGTAGTCTTCAGTTTTTTCGAACATCCCCTCTGTGCATCCAATCTGGAGGACAAACCCCAGAGACAAGGCAGTCAGCACCAACGGCAGACAACGGCGACCACCGCTCCTGGGAAGGATCTGCATTCTCAGGCGGTCCACCAAGTGGCTGAACCGGGCAGGCCTTCACCCTATTTTACAGACTTTATCTGCACCTCCACTCCCACCTTGTTTGGAAATTGTCACTATCAAACTCCTCTGAGTGAGAGAGAGTTGAGTTCAAGTGCTGACCCCACTATGCCCTACCCACTTGATCTTGACCAGCTGGGTAAGCATTCTGAGTCAGGGACAGCACATCTCCAGTGATGCCAGGAGGACAGGACTTGAGTAAGGTCTATTTACAAAGTTCTATCATCCCCTGTCATCAGCCCTGATGAGCTGTTAATGAAGCATTATGCTTACACTGAAAAAGAGATGAAATTATTGAAACTTCAATCCTTAGCCGCTATCAGTCCATCTCATTCAAAGTACTTATCTTTTTTTACTGGTCTTATTTTTCACTAAGCATGTTATCTTTTTCCAGGTGCTAACTCATCCTGAAAACATCGCCACAGGACATGGGACAAGTCTTGCCCCCCTCAGAAGTAAGTAGATTCTCGCGAGACTTTTGGTCACTCCCATAACTGAATCATTAAGGATGCTTACTGCTTAGCAGTCCTTCGTACCCGTCTTGTTTTCCCATACACCTTGGCCAGTTATACTCACCATTATGGAGAAAAGGAAGTACATCAGCTGATGGAGTCTCTGGTCGTGTGAGTTGGCAGGCATGGTCATCAACTGCCTGCAGACATCTGAGTATGTGCAAGACTCGGGGCCTTCACTGTAAGAGAAAAAAAATGCTGTGAGTCATTAAAAGGAATCAGAAGTCATGGAGCTTCCCACTTGTACCTACAACCCCTCTGAGTATGATCATGTACTGGTAACTCCCCTCCTCAGCCCCCTGACATCAAGTTGATTCTCTACAACAATTCTGTAGGATAGAAGAGAAATTCTACAAAGTCTTAAAACTTTTAAGTCATTTTTATGGGAGCT